TGAGCCATTTATGCGCCTCAAGAAAGTTTACAAGCTCAACCAATGTCAATTATTGAGATCCATTAATATAGTTTTGAGAGGAAAATTGGCGTAACACATGAGTTTATATAATGGTCTGTTGATAATTTGGTCATTTACAAAAGTGAGTAAAAAAGCAAAACTGTTGGTAGAAGAAAGTCTATTGTACTAGTATTCTTTGTGAGCGGCTCCACTGTTTGGCTAGAGTTTGCAACTTTGATCAATAGGATGTTGCACCCTATATTTTAAATTATGGCCGCCTTTCCCATATGATTTTAACTAAATCTGTGCACTTTGCATTTTACAGACCTTGACCCTTTTGTTATGTTATATATTTCCAATTTGAAAGTGTATCATCTGCCGTTTTTACAGTTTTTGTACATATATATATATATATATACTCTTCTTGTTGCTTTAATGCTTCTCCTGTTTTCCAGTATTCATTTGTGATAACATTCTGTTTCAGGTGACATTCATGGGCAGTATCAAGACCTTTTGAGGCTCTTTGAGTATGGTGGGTACCCCCCTTCCGCAAATTACCTCTTTCTAGGCGATTATGTCGATAGAGGCAAACAGAGTCTGGAAACAATATGCTTACTTTTGGCTTACAAGATAAAGTATCCAGACAAAATTTTTCTTTTGAGGGGAAACCATGAAGATGCCAAAATTAACCGTATTTATGGATTTTATGATGAATGTAAGAGGAGATTCAATGTTCGACTCTGGAAGATATTCACCGACTGCTTTAATTGTTTGCCTGTATCTGCCCTCATTGATGAAAAGATACTCTGCATGCATGGGGGACTTTCCCCTGAGCTTAAACATTTGGATCAGATAAAAGAACTTTCTAGACCCACTGAAATTCCAGATAGTGGTCTCCTCTGTGATTTGCTTTGGTCTGATCCTGATCCAAGGATACGGGGTTGGTCTGATAGTGATAGAGGCGTTTCATGTGTTTTTGGGCCTGATGCAGTTGCCGAATTTCTGCAGAAAAATGACTTGGACCTCATTTGCCGGGGTCATCAGGTAAATTAGTATATTATTTAACTTGGTCAGACTTTTTTTCTTTTTTTCCTTTTTTCTTTCTGAAAATATCTGACAATGGAAAATATGTAATGCAAAGTCATGGTTTTTGTAATCATCAGCATCCTCAATGGAAAATATGAATTCTTTTCTCTGTATTGTCAAACTATGATGCCGGTTTTCAGACTTCACATTGTCAAATCATTTCTAGAAAGGAAATTTGCCTACAGTTCATTGGCTTGCTTGCTGCAGGTGGTGGAGGACGGGTACGAGTTTTTTGCCAAAAGGAGACTCGTAACACTCTTTTCAGCTCCAAATTATGGTGGGGAGTTTGACAATGCAGGTGCCCTTTTGAGTGTAGACGAATCACTTGTTTGTTCCTTTGAGATCCTAAAACCTACGGCAAGCACTTCAAAGGTTCCCCTAAAAAAGGTATATTTTGTAACGTGCATTGCACATGCACGATCTCTCTCTCTCTCTCTCGTTCGGTTAGGCCTAGGTGGTTCTCAACTTTATGACTAACTGTTCTTTGTTTTCTATTCTCGACTGACAGCCCCCCAAAATTGGATCCATGTAATTCAGCCAAAAGTGAACGTGTAAGTTTTATGCAGCGACTAGGTGTTAATGGAAAAGGCTACGTCCTGATTGCTTTTTTTTCTGTCCGTATATAAACTGTTATGCACTGGAGGTGTGCCAGAAAATTTCAGAGCTTAGCTTTGAAGACAGTTTATTACTATGGACTACCAAGTTAAAAAGGAAGAAGGATTGTGTAAAGAACAAAGTTGTTGCACTCTGACTCTTGTGGTAGGAAAATCTAAGCTGTGACTGTTTATTTGCTGGCTTGCTACAATTTGTCGCAAATGCTCATACGATTTCTAGTACCAAATGTACATCCATTCCTATCATCTGGGTTTTTTCTTTTCTTTGTTTTGTAGCGAATTTGTAGCTGTATTCAAACCTTAGTTACTGAATTGAAGAATATTTTACCTTTTTGAGTTTTGATGATGATAGCAAGTGTTGCCAGCGACATTATATGTTTGAAATTTTAACATGACTTTACTCTCTTCTTTCTTGTACCGGCTTGTTCCTGCAAATGAATTTAATCTCTACCTAATTTATTAAATTGGATAAGATGGGATATGCGACCCAAATCTCTGCCTCATTTATGGGATATACGACCCAATTAAGGAATTATCCAATGTTTGCCAACCATGAGTGCAGTCCTCAGTATATAGCATCAGATCAGTGATTATATCCTAACAAATTCTTCGGGCTTGTTTACTTTTGGGGTAAGGATAAAATCTAATTATCATCTCTTCTTGTTCACATTATCATATCCTTCGTTTAGGGCTGCACATTCGGTCCAAACCGAACCGAACCGACCGAATTTTCGGTTAACCGAAAATTCGGTTTGTCCAACTTGTAAACCGAAAACCGAACCGAAAACTACGATTCGGTTCGGTTAAAAACCGAAAATCTATCGGTTTTATCCGTTCGGTTATCGGTTATCCGAACGTGTCGCTGTCGAAGCTTCTTCCTTAGCTGCCGGTCAGCTCCCGAGGCTGGACAACAAAAGTGTAATCGGATATGAGTATTGACGAGAAACAGCCGTGACCAGTTGAATGCTGACTAACCAGATCGGGCTTGCGAACAGAGCCCGACGGTCGCTCTCACGCCACTAGTCGCGGCATCGTTGGTGAACATGGAATTGGATCCACCGCACTTCTTGCACCTTGGGAATGAAGAGAATATGAGAAAGATTTTAAAAATAATTGAGGTGCCGTGTGTGAAAATTAGTGGGTGTATGTGCTATCTTGACCCGTGAGAGAGAAATTGAGAGAGATGACTGATTTGTGTTCTGCGAATTGTGTGCTCTGTGTTGTGCGTGTGCCCTTCTGATTTGGATTGAGATTTGAGATGGAAGGAAGATGGACAAATTGGGCTTAAATTAAATTGGGCAATGAGTTAAAAGCTTGTTAATATATTGGAAAGAGGTGAAATAAAACGTGGGCTGGGCTTGTGTATTATATTTATACTGGGCCTTTATAATTTATCTATATAGTATTGGGCCTTTATAATTTATCTAAATAGTATCGTTTTCGGTTCGGTTCGGTTAACCGAGCAATATAATCAAAATCGAACCGAAAACCGAAATTCTAAGAAAGTATAAACCGAAAACCGAACCAAATAATCGGTTTCGGTTTCGGTCCAAACCGAAATTTCGGTTTCGGTCGGTTCGGCTCGGTTAACCGAATTTTGTGCACCCCTACCTTCGTTTACCTTTCTTTTGTGAGTGTGTTATATCTATCTGGACACTCAAGTACAACATTTACTTTTCCTAATTAAATACCACAGTGTTGAACCAAAAGGTCCAGTTATCTCGACATTTAAGCCTATGTTGCCAAAAAACCTTACCATAATTGTGGTCTTCATTCTGCACACGGAAGGGCAAAATTCTCCAGACGGGGAGAACCCTAACTTGTACCACCATTGGATTGGACGCCTTCGTTCAAAGAGATAGTCAGACCACAGACTGCTGGATTATCCAAAGACCTCAGTATGGGAATGTTTTTGGATTTCTCGATCCAAAAAATTATTTATTCTTCTTCGCTACAGTATTGTCAGCTATGTTTGGGATGGTAGCTATCTTTGTTAACCTTTTAAATTTCTTACAAAATCCAACTTACAAAACGAGATTGCTTTTGTGATGAATGTCTTTGCTATCTTCGCTATATTATTTTTCTTTTTAGTTTTTCTCTCTTTGTGTAATTCTCCTTCTTGGGAAACTAAGGACTTCAAGACCCGATGTTTATTGTTTTAATTTTTCGTTAAGATTGCAGTTTTTCGGCTTATTACTTCTCATGGGTGCCACTAGAGACTTTGAGATATAGTTTAAAGTTTAAGATCTTGTAAGTTTTTCTTGTCTTTACTTGATAAATTTTCTAGGGTAACATTTTTATGAGTAAGAATAGGCTTCATCTTCGGAGGGTAGGAATTATTGGATTTTGTTGTTGATTGTGTAGGCGAGAATTGATTGAGAGTTCGATTAGTTCAACGTGAGTGACAATTGTTTGATTACATGTTGCTGAACCTTTAAGTTTCTTTTTTCCACCTAAGGTCTTAGGGTTCTTAATTCTTTTTTTCTTTTTATTTCTCTTTTTATTACAAATTGAGGATTTATGTGGTTTAATGTTTGAATCATGCTTTTAATCTTGCTTTCAATTACGTTAATTAGTTTAAATCAACCACCAACTTGCGAGTAGAATGTTAAGGAACCTTTATTTTTCGTTTTTGTGAATCATCGTTGCTTGAATTCGATTTCGAACAACCTTCCTCAAAAGACATAACCCAAGGTTAGGATTTATCTTGTAATCGGCTAAAAACTACAAAACAACGAGTACGCACACTAGTAATTATCCATGAACTATTTTACCTTGTCTTTTCTTAAATTAACGTATGCTATTTTTCTCTTTTAATTCATATATATTAAGTATTGAGTTTTGCTATAAAACCAACAGTTGGCTCCATAATGAAGCCAACCTCTTATACATAGTAAGTAAAAAATACTATATTTTATAATTAAATAAGAAAAATACAATCAACAACTACTTGATAAGAAATATAACTTTATTGAAAAAGTAAAATTTATTATATTTTTTAATTTAAATTAAAAATAAATACTATAAAGTATTTGTAATATTATTTAAATCATTTAAAAATTATTTGAATCATTTTAGTTAAACATTAGAATTAATAATTATATGTAACAACTAAGTAGTTTATATAATTTTAAAAAATAGTACAAACTTTTTGTAGTATTTATTTTTAAAAATTTAAATTTAAAAATATAAGTCTTTATTTTCATTGTGGTTGAGTAGTTATTAATTATATTTTCTTATTAAGTAGTAGTTAACTAGAAATAATATTTTTCTTATTAAGTATTTTTTTTTTGGCAAATTTATTAAGTAGTTATTAATTGTGTTTTCTATTAATTAGAAAATATATTATTTTTGTTTGCTATGTACAGGAGGTTGGCTCCACTATGAAGCCAACTATTAGTTCCATAGAAAAAACTCATTAAATATTAACTACTATAAATATGTATTCTTCTTATTTTCAAAAGTTTAAACCTTACTATTGTTTTTTATGTTTTATATACAGTTTAAAAATAATCATCTTTTAACGATCTTCGATTTGACATCATATTGCATAATTAAAATAAAAAACAATTTCATCTATTTATAAATACAACTTAATTTATTTATCAAACCAAATTGAGAAATATAAATAATATTAAAAATTACTTTATTAAATAATGAAATTATAATTCATTAATATACCATAACACAATCATTTTAATGTATTTTTTTTATAGATTTTGAAGAAAATGTGAAAATTATGTATTACATAAAATAAATATATAAAATTATCCTGAAATTATTACTTCTCTGCTTAAATAAAAGTATATAAAGAAGTAAATGTTATTATTTGTTCAAAATATAAATGTATAGGAATATCATAAAAAAATAATAAAAACTATTTTTATATTTTGTAAAGTTAAAAATATTAAAATTATATGTATTAATTTACTTTTTAATTATCAAATATATGAATCTAAAATACTTAATAATTAAGAAACGAGGGTCACTCTATAAATATAAAAATAATCACAATAGAATCAAATTTATAGAGTCGTAAATAATATTTATTTAGACAAACTTAGTGTAAAATATGGTTGCTATATTATTATTATTCATAATTATACAGTAAAATATCAATTATTATATTTTTTTATTGTACAAATATTATTATTTTTAAATAGGGAAAATTGGAGTTTTAGTCTAGTAACAAGTTCGTTTTTCATTTTTATGCAATACTTTAATCGAATCCAAAAGTGGTTCAAAAACTCTTAAATTTTAGCCAATTAGTCCTATTTAGACCCTGATCGTCGGAATACGATTAGAAGTACAGACTTGGGCAAATTGACTAGGCTGATATGTGTTGGTGTTATATACTGAAAGTTTGACTTTGAATGATATTACACTTTATCTTTGTTGAATGAGAATTATGTTTGATTAAATAAGTTCTATGTTCTGTTGCTTCGCACTTAGATAGAATGAGTCATCATCGGGTGAACAAAAGATCATTTTATCAGTTACTTGCGAAACAAGAATTGTTGGTTCACAACCTAGATGGAAATGAACAAACCATCAGAACGGTTGTAGTGTCAACTGTACAATTGGTCTTGACTGATTAGTTGCACTAGTACATTTATGTATTGAATAAGATCCCAGAGAGTAACAGTTTGTTTTATACTGATCGTCGTAAACAAACTTAAGTCTCGATTAATTACTGCGTTCTCTTAACCCGTAAGATATAAACAGGCATGTACATATGGTAATTATTACTTTGATTTACTGAAAGTGAGATTCAATTTACTGAGTCAACATACTTGTTGTTTTAGGTAATATTATTATATGTACGATGTGCTGTTAGAATATTTACGGTCACCATGTGCGACAATTTGATGATGTTCCCAAAGTGAGTTCATGAAGGTTGTTATGCTAAACCCTGCAGGTTGATTAATTTCCGGCAGAATAATAATGTAATGAATGACGCTAGCTTTGGTAATATAATATATAAATTAATTTTTGATTATCAGTAATCAAATTAATTAAAGGACATTATATCTTAAACATAGGGAGGTAAATCGAGTAATTATAACTCGAGTTTCAAATATATAATTTGGGATAGGAAAAGGAAGTGCAATAATATTATGTTAGTGAATCATAATATTATTTAAGTATTGGAAGAGTGGGCTTAGCTCACAGTTAGGCCCAATGCTTAAGAAGCTCTATTCCTATTCTCCTAAGGATCTCTACTGTAGCTCTATATATACATCATTAAGTTCATGGGACGAGAACACAAGCAACCTAATGTGAAACACGTTTTTTGCCACCCCCCCTCTCTCTAGTTCTTATAGCCAAGCTTTATCTTCGTGTTGTTGTTCCACCGGTACAACACGAAGAGGTGTTTGAGATATACAGTAGAAGATCTCGAGGTACCGAGACCCCGTGATCAATATATATTCACAACCCCAGAGCCGCCGACCGTCGAGCACCATGAGCCGCCCACGACAAACTGCCGCGAGAGGCCGCAGTCCGCCAGCCAGCCGCGACGATCTCGCGCCCGGCGACCTCTGCACCGCAGCCCCAAGACGCTCCGATGCCGACACCGTTCGTCACCATGCTAACACCGGCGACCTGCCTCGATGTGTGCTGCTTCCGGCCACTGCATCTGACTTCTCGAGGTCCGACGAGAAGGATCCGACTCCCCAACGGATTTTGAGATCAGACGATTTCCTTCAACAGTAATCTACAACGTTTCAGAGTCTGCAAATTTTAAGCCGTAAGTATTCAACTCTAAACCTCTAGATCCGTTGCGCGCATATGTTTATTGTTGCTATTGAATTTGTGGCTTGTATATAACGAGATCCTCATCGATCCCAACAATATGGACTGATTTTCGACAGATTAACTGATGTGGACACTTTTATTTTTTCCACTACATTTTCTCTTAAATTATTTTAATTCCATAATTAAAAAATCCACTGGTCACCGTGAATAACCTCGGGAAATCTAACTCTAGATCGCGCGTCGTCGATCAGAACAACCTCGCCGTCACCTCCTCTGTCGTGATCCACCCTAACACCGCCACCGCAAACCCCCACGCCTTGAGGACCATTTATTTCACCACGTTGAACGCCGCGTTCTTATCCATTGGGCCGACGGTCCCTCACACAAGAAAATCGTCGAACACCTCACAAGCGGAGCTCGACCGTTGCCAGCGAGGGTTCAACTCCACTAGTAGCCGCCCCAAAGATATCCTCAAGAACTTGTCGCAGCACCCGACCGCAAACCCCCATCAAACTATCACCACTCACCAGGCAGCAGAAATTCACGAGATTGAGGTTGAGGGTTTCGATAAACTTATCGGACAACGAGATTTAGATGAGGAGAAACGGAGAGCTGGGCTTCTACATTCTCGAGGAGTAGGCGCCAGAGAGGTCGAGTAACGTGCATTTGTCTGCGCGGCAAGCCTGGGCGATGACGGGGATTTGGGGAGCAATGGGACGGTTTTGGAGGTGCTGAGGGAGATGATTTTTTTTCCTTTTTATTTTTTGGCGAATGGGAGGTGAATTTTTTAACTTCAGAATTAAAATAATTTAAGGAAAGATGACGTGGAAAAAAATGAAAGTGTCCACATAAGTTAATCTTCCAAAAATTAACCTAGTCAACACAGAAATTTGCCAACTCAACAACTTTTGATCGAATTTCGGTGATCGGGGTCGAAATACAACTAAATTGACTTAAATTTAAGAATTTTTGGACAAACTTTGGATCCGACTAAATTACTGGATGAAAAATAAAATTGCAAATTTATCTTTTAAGTATTGACGAGTATCTATATATATATATATATATATATAAAGGTTTGATTATATTTTAAATAGTAACTATTTCCTTAAAAAAATCTACTTACTATTTCGAGAAATTAATTCAACAATTTATAGTATAATTCAAATAATCACGTATGGAAATTGCGGCTCATTATTTAAGGAAATAATTAAGCCATTAAAAAATTATTTTTAAGATACCTTAATTACTGAAATCATGTGAATTTGGCTGATTTACCCAAATATAAGAATTTCGACTGCAATATCTATTATGTGATTTGGTAAAAAAAAATGCAACTAAATTGTGTAATTTATTATTTAATAAATATTTTATATTTTTCGTGTAATTTTTTTGTGAAATGCATTTTTAATATACCTTAATTACGCAAATTATCGTGTATGTATATATATATATATAAAGGTTTGTATTTACTTAAATCACATTGTAGTCAAATCGAATTTATTAATAAAAATTTTAAAATGACACCTATTTTGAAATGAATATAATGTAATTTATTATCAGTTACTTTCACTGTACGGATCATGTACTATTTATAAATAGACATATTTTATGTAGTTTTGCACAATTTAAATTTAACAAATTAATATAGGTAAATTGTATTACATCTTGATTCTATATTTTTAATTTATTAATATTATTTAATAACATTTTTAATTTATAAATATTAATAAATATTTTCTTACCTGTGCATCGCACGAGATTCGTACGGGTTGTATTATAAATAAATTAATAAATAAATATTAAATACAACTACTAGGCAGCCCGAGAATAATATCTATACTTATATAATAAGAATTAACATTTATCCAAAATAGTAGGTCAAATTATGGTTAATGTCGGATTTGCATTAAATATTTTCCAAAACCGGTAAGTTTTTGTCCTTTTTACACTTCTCATTAATTATGTCATTTTCACACTTCTCATTAATTATGTCTTTTTCACACATCTAATTAATTCATTAATTACGACATAATTATCATAAATCATTCCATCTGAGCTTTTATCGTTAAAATGTATAGCGATCTGTTATGACCTTATCCCATTGATATTTCCATGAAGCGTCCTTATCGCGTTCTATTTTTTAGTAACCACTCTATATCAATAACCGGATATTTGGTTAATGATAACACACGTCTTTATTTCAAGGAGCGGATATTCTTTGACCTTTAATTAATCTGAACTGATTGCCTTTACTTTTCAATTTTTGAAAACTCTTTTTTTAAATATTTCGGCTTAAGATTCGGATTTCATTATACAAGTCATTGGATTGTTTGAATGAAAATGAATGAAAAGAACACCAAAAACAGGTAGCCTTATTCATATAACCAATCCTAAAATATTAGTTTGTTCACAAAAAAGAGACAAATCCTAAAAATCCTAAAATATTAGTTTGTTCACCAATCCTAAAATATTAGTTTGTTCACCAAAAATATTAGTTTGATTTTTAGGATTTATCTCTTTTGAAAATATTAGTTTGTGATAACGAGGAGTTACCAAATAATCAAACTCATAATGTTGTGTACAAATGATGTTTTTAATAATATATGATTGTTACCGAACTTTTTATGATTCAACAATGTTCCTATGTATTTTAATGATTTCAATTTCGATCCTAATACACGTGAGGTTATATTATTCTTTCAAATTTTAAATCCCGCGCGGGTTATGTAGTAGTTGTATCTAATTTGATAAGTCCCGCCTGGCGCCAACTTTTCTCGTCGTTGATTGGTCTCCATTATCTTTAGCCACCACCAATTCAAAAATAATATTTTATCATACTCCTTTTTGTTCTTGCAGAGAGTTCATTGAGTCCTCAAGATAAACTTTGTAAGTCGCCCTCTTTTCCCACCATCGTCTTGTAGTCGGGATTAAAATGGCCAGGCAGCCCGAGAAGCCCAGATTGATTTGCGCGCCATTAATGGCTCAATCGGTGGAGCAAACGCTGAACGAGATGCAGCAGGCCAAGATGGAAGGTGCTGACGTGGTGGAGATCAGGCTGGGCTGTAACCCTAGTTTCGAACCTTTGAGAGATCTCAAAATCCTGCTGGAAAACAAGCCAATTCCTGTTTCTGTCGTCTGCCGGTATATTTTTATTTTATTGTGTGAATGTGTGTGTTCAGTGATAGCATAAGAATTTTGGAAATGTACAGAGTGTTTATTAGTGCGCAGAGCTTCTCGGCTGGCTTGAGTTGCGAAATTAGTTTTCACAATGATGAGTAGTAGCATTAAATGTATGGGTATTAGCTAATTTGTTATATACATTTTTGTTTTCAAGACTGTTCTGGACTCTGTTTCATATGCAGTGCGCACTTTTAGTTCATTTGCACGTAGGGATGTACTGGTTTTTCCTAGTAGTCAATTGAAATGCGCATATCGGTTGGATCTTCTGTGCCTTCCAGAGTATTGAAACATTTTCTTATGGGTTCGAATATGTTTTTGTAAATGGATATTCTTGTGTGAGTTTCTGGGCCAAATTTCGATATTTGTTTTCTCACTACAGGAATAAATTTTTTCTTGAATTTGATTTGTTATAGGTCGTCATGGGAAGGCGCTCAACACAAAGTTGATGAAAAGGAGCAGCTGCAAGCTCTTATGTTGGCTAAAGATTTAGGGGCTGATTACATAGAGTTGGAACTCGAGGTAGGGTAAGCACCATTCGATGGTGTATCAAATTAAGAAATGAAAACAACTAGGCAAGTTTTTTTTTTTTTTTCGAGATTCTCAAGTTTGTATCGTTTGTTTTATTTTTAACACGTGGCTGAGGAAAATTATATCAACTGTTCATGGAATTGCAAATGGATGACTGATGAGTTTGTGCATAGTTAATGCCACAAATGTTGGACAAACAAACCTGTAAAATTTTCGCATGTATATGCCCAACGTTTGAATTTTACAACCATATCTGAGGCACCAATGATATAGTGATATACTTATGCTCTTCAAATAAAAGATTGAATTTTTTAAACTGAAGTCTTTACCGTGTCACTGCAGGTAGCATCGGCTCTCTTTAAAGAAGATAAGATGAGCCAGTTTAAGAGCAGTAAAATAATAGTATCTTGCTACCTGGACAGCTTGACTGCTTCAAAGGAAGATATCAGCCAACTTGTCGCAAAAATGCAATCCACTGAAGCAGATATCATTAAACTTGTTTCGAATGCAGCTGATATTACAGAAATAGTTGATGTCTTTGAGCTGCTTTTAATTAGACAGGTTTGATTCCTGATGATAAATATGCAATTATAATATATGTCATTTATTTCATTTCTGTAACAAAGCCTGCACTCAAAGACCGTAAAGGCCTTTTACGAAAATGCAATGTATACGTCAGAGAATGTGAGTTTGAATTGCCTTTGCATTAATTAAATTTTTGTACCCTCCTGCAGACATCCTTAATAGCTTACTGTACAGGGGAAAGAGGTCTTATAAGTCAGTTGCTAAGTTTTAAATTTGGCGGGGTGTTTGTATATGGACATATCGAAGGACATGAAATTCCAGGTCTCCCTAGTATAGATAGCCTTACTCAAGCCTATGGAGTGAAGAACATAGATAAGAATACTCAAGTGTTTGGACTTATCTCAAAACCTGTAAGTCATAGCAAGGGCCCTCTATTGCATAATCCTACATTTAGACATGTGGGTTACAACGGAATATATGTTCCAATGTTTGTGGATGATTTGAAGGCGTTCTTCAATGTCTATTCAAATCCTGATTTTGCTGGTTTCAGGTACGTCAAGCTTTTGCCTGGATACATATTCTTCTGTTTCATCTGAATCGTAACGATCATTTCAAAAAGGAACTTTTTGTGTATAAATAACATTCAAGGGAGTTTTCTTTTTCTACTTCTGTTCCCTTCCACAAAAAAGTCACATCATGTTGTTTTCGGCTTTTTACATTTCAGTGTTGGATTCCCTTACAAGGAAGCAATAGTTGATTTCTGTGATGAAGTGCATCCACTTGCTCAGGTTATTATTGGAGAACTCTTTATTTAGTTTGCCTATTTCGATCACAGTGCTGAACTCAAATGCAGTTCAAGATTTGTATCTTACTATCTTAGAGAAAGCATTTACGTAATTTCTTCCTCGTGGCTGATATGAATCTTTTAAAACTTCCGCAAGTTTTAGATATTAGTTGTGTTAAACATATCTTGAATTATAAATAATTAATACGAAGAAATATTTACCATATTAAAGTCTCTCTTGTTGGCTCAGTTCATTGGTGCAGTAAACACAATAATAAGGAGGCCTAGTGATGGAAAGCTGATAGGCTACAACACAGACTGCGAGGCTGCCATATCAGCAATTGAAGATGCTTTAAAGGTAATGTAACATAGTAAATTTATCATTTTTTTGTGTCTTATTAGTACCTTGTATATTGAATTTGTATAAATTGTGACACTCCAAAATAATGTACAGGAATGTACAAACCTGGAAAGAATACACTCTTCACCAATCAAAGGAAAGTTGTTTGTTGTTGTGGGTGCTGGAGGTGCCGGAAGAGCCCTGGCCTTTGGTGCTAAAACTAGGGGTGCTCGGATTCTTGTTTTCGACATTGATTTCGGTACATTGGAAAAAGTCTTTTCAAAATTCTTGTTTTTCCATGTAGTGTCTTTGTAAATAAATACAACTCTCATCATCTATTGCTAGTTAGCTATCCCTTAGAGACTTTTGAACATGTCTCCTGGTAGAGCTTGCATAATCCGGCTNAAAGGGAAGAAGAGAGATAAACGGGACTCGGACAGGCCAAGATCTTTCAGTGCAATATTTTCACACCTTATCCTGCCTTATAGAATATAGAGTAATAATGCATCTTGGAGAACCAGCAATGTGCTATCTGACAACTTTTATTTATTTTTTATTGAAATGTAAAGATAGGGCGAAATCTCTAGCTGCTGCAGTATCAGGCGAGGCTCTTCCTTTTGAAAATCTGCTAAATTTCAAACCGGAGAAAGGTACAATCCTTGCAAATGCAACCCCTTTAGGCATGCATCCGAACGTGGACCGAATTCCTGTTCCGAAGGTATCTTTTACCAAAAGAATAAAAGAAAAGAAACAAAAATTGAGTAGGGACATATATACAATACAACATTCTTCTGTTTCTCCTTGAAAACCGGCCTTCAAAATATTTCACTATTTTGTCTTCAGGAATCTTTGATGGATTACAAGCTCGTGTTCGATGCAGTTTACACCCCTAAGAAAACTAGGCTTCTGAAAGAAGCTGAGATTGCTGGTGCTATTGTCGTCAGTGGAGTTGAAATGTTCCTTCGCCAGGCGGCTGCCCAATTTAGTCTTTTCACCGGCCAAACAGGTTGCTATAAATATGTCCCCTGCAATAATAATCCTTTTAATTCTCATACACGGTTTCTATGCATCTTTGTTAGGAAACACCAAAAATTCATAATTTTTTCTTTTTTTTATTCTTTTGTTCATATGCAAAGCTTGACTCGTAATTCGTGTTGCAGCACCGGAAGAGTTCATGAGAGGGATTATCTTGGAGAAGTTCGTTTGAAAATTCTCTCAGCAGAGCACATTTTGATAAACAGTGTTCAATTTCTGTCTTATTTGCAATGCAATTATTGTTGTATGCATCCTATTTAAAATTTTGGAAGATTATAGAGAAAATCATAAACGGGAAAAGAAACTGGGTTACCATGCAATGCATACTGCATTACTACTTCCCGAGGTTGAGAATTGGGACTTGTATTCTTATGTTATATTCAATTTCAAGCCTGTGTAGAGAACTAATCAGCATGGGGCGCTGTATTATCCCCATCCCCACTTATCGTAAGGGTAAAATAATTTTTGCAACTATTACTCTACGTAATTTTGAATTTTAGTATAAATATTTTTGACTTTGTAATGTATAGTATTTTTCTTGTTAAAATACGAACAAAATTTCTTTGTGTGGTCATTAACACAGATGATTAAATTTACAATTTTATAATGATCGTGATTTTTTTNAAAAAAAAAAAAAAAATGAATGATGATAATATTTGGCCACAAAATATGACACATTAAGACCATCTCCAATCATCTCTTATTGTAGAGTTTACTCTTACATCAACCATCCGCTCTATATTTTACTCGACATGTAATATTTTATTTTTAATGTCATTATTTTAATTATTTTTAATGTCAAATATAATTTAATTAGACATTATTGATAATTTTGACAAGTTTGAAATATCATAAGACAAAAAAAAGTTGTCTCTAAAATACTTTAATTAAAGATATTCATCTAAAATTAATACCACTCTTAATTAAACTAACTATAGAAATGTTTTGGTATTTATTCGTACACTTTCTTATAAAAGCATACTAATTCGAAAGGCAACTGTACATGGGAGAGGCCCTAACATTGTAGTCAAATTTTGTAGACGGGTGATTCGTATTGCAACGAAATGACAAGGTTGCAAATATTAGTGCAACTTTTCTATAGAAAAAAATGATTATTGATTATGTTTGAAAAAGTGAAAGTGCTGTGTTTTTAATTACAATTAAGCAAATTAAATTAAATTAATAAAAATTACCAAATAAATATTAATCTATCTTTTAACCTAAAAAATTGTTTCCAATGTTTTTATGGTGATTCCAAAGACGTGATTCGTCCATCTTCGGTCCAATCGGAGGTGGGATCATCCCAAGACCTCGGCCTCACACCAAACCTGAAATAGACAGCCATTTCCAAAGCCTCGAAGAACCTCGAACCGTCCAGAACCTCGTTCCAAACCCCACTCACGATGCAGTAGTTGCTGCTGTACGGCGGCCGGTGGTGGGCCGCGTGCTGCGACCGCGACACCAGCACCCCTCCGTCCTGCAGCGCCGCCACCACCGGCGGCAGCCTGCTCTTGGTCGTGTGGGCCCACGCGTGGAACTGCTGGCTGAACATGATGCACCCGGAGCACGCGCCGACGAACCCCAGCAGGACCGGGTCCTCGCACGCCAGATCTATGGGGAGGACGACGAAAAAGACGGCACGGGCCAGCGCGTGCAGGTTGTTGGCGAACTGGCGGCGCGTTATCGTCCACGGCCATTTGTGGTGTCCCTGGATATTTCCGGTAACGCAAGTTTTACTAATTGTATAATAACCCAATCTCGGAAGAATTACCATAGAATTTTGCCAATACCTGGAAAGCTTCGATTTGAGATCCAAAAACACGTGTGTTTGGGCCACCGTAGTTGTCAATGCCCCAATGGTAGATTCCTGAGCCGAGATCGGCCAGCACGTACCCGAGAAGGCCGGCCAGGATTGGCTCGAGCCAGACGTGTGAGCTGGCGGCACCCGAGAAGGACTTTGCTAGAGATACGAGGACGGTGGTGCAGCCCCCGGCGACCCACGCCCAGTGGGACCACGTCGACTTCAGGGACGACTGGTCGTTGCCGTTGGGGAGTGGCGGCCGAGGGCCGATCTTCAGGCTGCGCTTGGCGGGCGCGGTTGCCGAGCAGCGGACACGTGTTGGAAGGGGAATTAGATGAGAGATTCGAGGGAAATGTGGCCTTAGGATTGGACCAATTGGTGGGCGTTGAGGCGAAATGGCCATTGGGAAGTGTAAAGAGAAAAAGTGCCTACTCTCTAATTAAATTGTTTTTGTGATTGTTGGTTGAATGTGAATAGGGGAAGTGGGTGTTGTGTGGAAAATGAAAAGTTTGTTTGTGTGGCTCGAATGCAATGCTTCTATTCTATTGTTTGATCTATAAGTAAAATGTGGTGGATATTGGGCGTGGCGTGGGCCAATTTGGGTCGGCCATAATTTTTGGAGTGTCAATTTAGAAATTGCAATGGGCATGGCGAGGAGAAGTAATATAAATAGGTTCGTTATCTTTGTATTTTGAATGTACTTTATTATACTTTCTAATCTTATATAAAAAAAGAAATCTTAGCTTAGAAACTAGTAATTTGTGTATTATTTTATCCTAGTTGTAATTTATCAGGAATTAGTGAGGTGGTGGTTATTGGTAATGCGTCGGAATCCTCCCTATATATTAATTCAGAACGTGCTGAGCTTAAGTGGTAGGCTCGCATGTTTCGGGATCATATGTGGCAAAATTACATATTCATCCAGAACGTGCTGAACCTAAGTGGCAGACTCTGCATGCTTCGGGATCGTATGTAGCAAAATTACATGCTTCGTTATTAGGCTTTGATAAATTTTAATTTACTTCCAAATTAAAAATAATTAGGTTAAGATTATCCATAAATATATTGATTATTTATGGTCATGTTACATGTATTAATTGCATTTTAATATCATTTCTTATTATAATAAATTATAAATATATTTAAAAGTTAATAACTTTTATATTTTTTATCAGTTTTACATATATAATATATCAAATTAATCCTCTCTTGATGAGCTTCGATTTAACATTCATATTGTATGTATAAAAAAATTATATATCTTTATAACATAATGAAATTGTTTTTTAATATTTATTAGAAAAAATAAAATTATTTATAAATTAATATATTTATATTTCAAGTAGTTATATGATATAAGTTTTAAAATTACTGGTATAATATAACAAATGTAAGTTGCACAAGTAACAAGTGTCATTTTAAAATATATAATAATATATATTTTTTGTAAAAAAAGAAATAAAATTTAAAATAAATTTTCTCATTAATTTTAAAATTTAAAAATAATTTTTTAACAAACACCGGTGTAATACACGGGTGTTGTACTAGTAGAGACAATATTGGCTGATTCCATTGTGAATTTGGTGTGTTATTCCAATTGTCTTTTGTTTCTTACATTTAGTAATGTGGTTCTTTTGTTTTCATAAACAATAGCATTCAATTATTACTTATCGTGAGGTATTCTGTTTGCTACTTAATTTTGTGATCAGAGCCAAAGATTTTGACCAAGGCTTGTTTGTTAAGACTTCTATTCAATCCATTGAATATTACGTCACTACATAAAATCCATTGAACTGAATTTACACTTAGATGAATTCAGGAGACGCATTCAACAAATAAAAGTTTACTATAATGTCATGAACCCGATCATTCGAAGAGATAATGTGATTGGTTAACAGTGGATAAAATGATAGACTCAGCAAGTAGTCCAGTTGACTGAAAGATTGACGATTGCATAAATAAAATTAAAAAATAAAAAAAAGGAGGAAATAATTATATGATCAGTAAAATAACTAGTGAGGATAAATGTACAATTTACTAATGAGTATTTTTTTATTAATATCATCGATTTATATGTTGATTGTATTAAATAAACATATATGAAAGTATAAATAATCATTAGCTTAAATTCTTTGCACTCTAATTAAAAATATATTGAATTATTTTTTCAAAACTAAATGTTAGTAATAATTGATCTATAAATTACGTGTAGATAATTTAAGTAAGCAAATTAATGTTCAATATGACTTATATTGAATGTGCAAACTTATGTAATACAGGAGAAAAAATGCTATCTTTCTTGAAAATACTATAAACCCATCTTCCAAAAATTTCTTGTATCGACCCTTCTCAGAATTGACATGTTGAATCAAAATGTCAGAATTGACATGTTGAATCAAAATGTAAATTCAAACAACTCTAATATAGCACCCAGAATAGTTCGATTCACCGACTTGAGTGGCTAGTCTAGTTCGGGTATGGCTAGTTCGAAGGAGCTTCAACTCGATATCACTATTTGACCTCGTCATGGAGCTCGCTTAGACATCTCATGGTACAAGTCAACCTGACTAAAAGATTAAAGGGGGCGAGCTCCTCTTGAAGCTCGAATAGATGAGGGGTCTGTATGACCTTGAGGTCGTACAGTGGTTTCGACTTGATAAAAACCTACAACGGATAGGTCATGAGGTTATGAGAACGATCTAAGGACTTGAGAGCCGTACATTACAAGGAACAAAATCATGTTGACGACGATAAGTGTATCTTGCTATGGAGTCTAAGATTCCATAGACGTGCTAAGCTACAAAAAAAGGTTTGATCTCTTTCTTAGCAAGAACACTACTTGGACAAGAAGATAACTCGAGTATATATAGGATTACCAGATTTTATTTTTACATAACGCATTATTACGCCTTTTGCATACAGTTTCTATATACTCGTGAGCAAAATTCTGCTTGAGCGTCAGAAGTTTTTTCTGCCGGTATCCCTCCCATTGTGTTTTGCTGGTTACCGGAGCTAAAGCCGAAGGGTCGACCGTTCTTGGTGTTAGTGTTTTAACCCGTTCAGAGGCAATTTGCGTATCAAACTCGTACCAAAAGCTTCACAGGCGAGGAAACCGTTAATGCCGACACTTTAGTCTCTAGCACATAAATAGTAAAAGAAAACTCGTATTAACAGATAACTGTTGGCTTCCACACAAAAGTGGCTATAGTGATTACAACTTCAACTGTATATGCTTACAATACTAGGATACTTCAAGTCTCTATAGTGATTACAACTTCAACTATATATGCTTACAATACTAGGATACTTCAAGTCTCAGTGGTCTGTCTGATTCATGAACATAAAATTCTTGAACCATTTTAATCGCAATTTTTTATAATATTTTCATTTTGTTTCCTCTTTTGATATAGTCTAGACATCCTTTCTGCAAATTGGACAGGTACCCTGCCGGACGAGCCATTCATCTATACAGTACTGGTGGAATAAATGCCGACATGCTGGCAGCAGCCTTGTATATTCTCTATGCTTCAAATCCTAGAGAACACATTATTGTTGGAAAGCATGAATATTTACTTTCAAATCGACCTTTGACAATACATGAAATTTGATTAGACATTAGCAACTAAATACCCAGAGCATTTAAAATCATGCAAGGATACAAAGCTCAGACAACATCTCTAATCACAATATCCCAATCAATTTAATACCAAAAGAACCACAACACAGAGCTTGTTTTAGTCCCTATTTGCAATTTGCAACATTCATCCTGTTGATGTGTAAGTGACTTTGATCCTCAAAAACAACTCTCGACATAACGAATTTCAATATAAACATTATAAATAAAGAGAAGAGACTCTCTATCGTTTGGTTAAAAGACGCCAAACGATAGACATAAAAGGGAAGGAAATTACTAATACATTAAATAAATTAAGTGTACTGGCTGCTTAATTTTAGAAAGAATAACTATAAGATAGCAAGATTATTGACCACTTGATATATGGGATCCCAGAGTCTAGAACCAATTAAGGATTTATATAACTAAATTATACGAGCCAGGTAAATCGGCCATTATATATTGACAGCTTAGGCTAATGGGCAAGTTCATTGCTGGTCTAAAATGTTAATCACTTCCTTTATCATCAATAAACTTTATTTTCATTATCGAACTTGTCCTGATTATTCACTAAGCAACAAACCAATTGCTAGAGAGAGCTACCTGTAAGCAAATGGAACAACTAGCTTCTTGACATGGTACAAAAGCCTTTGCAGCACTAAACTTGAAACTTGGCAGCTCCTGGATTGCATCTTGAGATAGTCCTCTGATGGGATTCACTTCAAATATGTCCGAAATTTCCCTGAAACCTGTTTCCATAGTGTTAATCTGACATAAAAACAGTATATATTATTTAGTTCCAACAATGTTAATCCAAATATCCATTACCTACAACTTGAAAAGTTAATCAGCTGATTTACTTAATTGATTGATTGATTACCTGCCACTGATATGCTTTTAACACAGCTGGACTGACCCATTCCATAAATATCTTTCCATTCACCAGGCTGCAAACCAATGCTAACTGGAGAAGCAACAAAAATGTTTGGTTAAAACCAACTTTTTATGAATCACCTTCCAACCTTTGCTACTAGGAGCAACATATAAGCTTCCACACGGCTAATCACTTAGTTAAACTCGATAATATCAAAGTGTTACACTTCTGTTTGTAAGAGGTACAAATACTAATAATATCCTTAACCCATGCAGTCCACTAATCCATTGGTTGGGATAAACTTCTATAACAACAACAACAACAACAACATAGCCTTTTAGTCCCAAGCAAGTTGGGGTAGGCTAGAGATGAAACCCAAGAGAACCAATGGTAAGAGAAACACAAAAAGGACTCAAAAACGAAAGGAAGAGATTGGAGCAAAAGAGAAAGGAGCAAAAGTCACGGTTCTGGCACGTTGATTGCTAGCCTCCAAGCGCTCCTATCACATATTCCTTGGGATAAACTTCTAGGATTTATCCCAACATATGGTAAATTTTTAAAAAATGACTCATCACCTAATTTAACCAGACACAGGTAAAATTTTGCTGCAAACGCATCTTGGGCTCGAGATGCTACCGAGAGGCAAAGTGAGGTATTTTTCTACACTTTCTAAAAAGTTTGTTTTTCAATCCGAAAAAGATCGTGTTTTATTTGCAATTAACCCTTTTCATAACGTGTAGTTGTAAAGCACATGACTTTCCTTTTGGTGCCTCCATAGGCTGTATTATGCACAAAAACAAAATGCTCACCGACTGAAAAATATTTATCATTCTCACTCATATTGCAGAGTATAATAAATATTTAAGAGTGGTATATATATGAATGACCTTGGAAAATGGTTCTCCATCCAATATAAGCTCTATCAACTGGACGGCCGTGACAGCCCCTGCCACTGCCCCCACACCAACACCACGCACAAGACCCGTCTCAGTGGTCTGCCCTTTCAGAGCTCCACTAATTACGCCTATGGTAGCTCCACCTGCATAGATACATAGCCCAAATCCCACCGAGTACAAATCACGATGCACGGAGCCAAATCAACAAAATCAGCACAAAAGAAAGACGCTAGCTATCTTGGGTTACATTTTCTTTCATGGATCACACACACGACAGGGGAATTTCATCAAAAAGGTGTGATCGTTCATGCTTATAAAAGAACAATAAAAAAAAAAAAATGAATCCCACACTAAGCATCAAGCAATTGAGCCTTGATTTTTGAAAAAAAAATTAAAAATCGACTTACCTAGAGCAAAAATACAAGTAAGACAAGCTACGACGCATCTAGCAAGCAACTTGAAGAGGAATCCGGACTGAGGAAAAGCTGAGGTAAAGGAGGAAACCCACCTCCTGACTACTTGACCACAACAGATCAACATGTATTTTTGAGGGGATTAATGTGTATGTAGAGAGACTAAAAAATCTGAAAATAACAGTGGTTGAAATAGGTAGAGGGAGAGTCATAATGGCAGCGTTGAGTTAGTTGGGGGATTCACGGCTCTACTTGGACTAAAAACACTGCCACACACGTTTTGCTGCTCCCAAGCTCATCTTTCGTTTCTCCAGTTGGGAAAATTTGACTTGTCTAAAGTTTTAACTCTCACATTTTATATTCCAAAGATTCAATGAACACTTGTCTAAAGTTTTAACTCTCACATTTTATATTCCAAAGATTCAATGAACACGTGAACCCTAAATCCTAAACTCTAAACCCTTAAAGGTAGAGCCATCTCCAATAGTCATTCTATCGTGTTATTTTATTGTCACGTGACATAAATAATTTTATATCTTATATGACATGAAAAAATATCTAGAAGGTCTTCTAAATGTAGAAGTCATTCTAAAATACTTCTATTATTTATTATATATTGTTTATTCATTTTTTCTCTCTTATTCATCCAATTATAATTTTTACATATCACAAATGACACCATAATTTACACTAACTATTGGAGACATAATTTTTTTATTTCCTTTCTCCATGTCATTCAACACAAAATGGACAATGTTCTATTGAAGATACTGTTACAATTCTACATGTAGGTAATTTTATGAGAATACTATAATTTTGTTGCAGAGAAATTAGTTATGTATTGTCGGTTTGGATTTAGTTACTGGAGCCCGCCCATGTGAAACTTATTTTTGTCAGAAAAAGAAGAAGATAAAAATCAGAGAAATAAAAATTAAAATGAAAAAAATACACACATTCAAGGCTGAAGCACGAGTTGGCAATGAACGCAAACTCAAAGCTTAAAAGTTAAAATTTACAAGGGCTAATGTAGCTCTACCATGCACAAAGTTCCCTTCTCTCCCTAAAAAAGTCCTCTCACTGAGAAAAAAAAAAAAACAAAAAGTTCACATGTGTCTCCCGCTCCTCAATCAGTTCATGGAATTGTCATCAACTCAATCTACCACTCTGGCTAGGGAGTCGCCTGCGAAGGCGCTGGAATCGCCGTCCATTTCATGCATGTGACAAGTCGATTGCTCTTTTGGGTCCAATGGCGGCGGAGATGAGACAAACCTTGAGCTCTTTTTGTTTTCAGTGGTCGGAGGTCGGGTGCAAAGTTGAGGGGTAGTGATGGAGGCCCTCTCGCCTAGTCGTTGTTAGCTTTTTGGCCACTGAGTTTAAAGAGTGGATCTGGCTTGTTTTCCACTGATTTCAGTAGGCCGTCTGGAGATCCCAGATCCTAGATTTTTGGTGATCCTTTTTCTCTTTGTTGGTCTTCTTCAAGAGTCGGTGTTGTAAGAAAAAATGGTTTTGTACTGATTTTTACGGTTTCATTTTTTGTAAGAGGAAGACTTAGAAAAGTCTTAAAACTATTTTAAGGTGGATGAAAAATTAATTCTAAGTTGTATATGTGGGAAATGTAAGGTTGAAGCAATGAGTTATGAGTAACTCAAATTATTGAATTCGTAAAACATTATGTCTTTGACGAATGTTAGGATAATCCAGACCTGATCGTGCAGTTTGCATGCTATAACCCTAGAAGGATCTGTTGAGGACGAGGAAGAAAAAACGAAACTCGATCCGAGTCTGTATGAGCTCGTACGAGTCTGCGCCGCACGGGCGCGCAACTGGCTGCGGACACCGAAAGGTCGCAACCCTTGGTGACTATAAGGTGTCTTAAAAAAATCTATAGAGCCATCGGATGGTTTTCTTATGGAGCCATCCATCACTTAATATATTGACACCTGTCCAAAGTGTATTTATTGTGGGACACGTGTCAATACACCATTAATCAATAACTATGTATGGCTCCATAAGTCGAGCCATCCAATGGCTCCATAGCAAAACTGAAGATGTCTTTTAGTCTCTATAAGAGGAGGTCGAGAAACTAGTTGTCTAGGATGACAACATATCAAGAAGTGTTTTTAGAAAAGAATAAGAGAAGACGAAGGAGTTAGGCAAAGAGATCACCGGAAAAAGTCGAATAAATTCAAAAAAAGAGAGATAAAAAGAGAAGAAGAAGAAGAAGAAGAAGAAGGAGTTTAGAACATACTCATGAATCGGTCTTTGCGAATGGCGTAAAGCGGTGAATTTGTAGGAATCGAGAGCAGGTCCTAGAGTTTTTAAGCCAAATGGTAACTTGCAGAGAAAGGATTTTTTCGCAGAAGCTCTGAGGTGTGCGAAAAGGGATGGAATAATTGGATGAATTCGACCATTGGGAGACACGTAAATAAAAGGCCCAATTTTGTGGGTAAGAATCCGATAAGACATTCTCACGTGGACATAGGACGTGTGGAAGGCTCGCAATCTAAAAAGATGAGTTGTTTTTGGTGTCTCACATTCTCTGAGGCTGTCTGACACAACAATCAATGCAGAAATAGGCCAAGTTCAAAGGCACGATGTTCGCCTATATTTTTAAAGCTCGACCGCAAGTGTACGGCTTCGCTCGTAGTATGTGGCAAGCAAGGTCGTATCCCAAGAGACCAAATAATTAATATATCAAGTACCAGATTATGATAATGGCAACTTTATTTAGACGACCAAATATGAGATGGATTAACTAAACTAAGAAAATATAATTAAAGAGAAATAAAGCAACAAGAAGAAACTAGCTAGAAAAACACGTAAGAAGATGTATGAGAACGATAGATTCTAAGACTTTGGTTTCAATTAATAGTTGGGTTCCTTAAAAAGTATCACAACTAAATGTTCTTTTATCTACCCTATAAGATGATCACAAATTTAGCTTATCGTCCCTCTCGAGATCGATAAAACCGTAGATTAAATCACATATATTAGCGTCTCCACTCAACACATGCAATTCAACTCCAAATAGATTAAAGGATCTAATATCCTCACAACGACCTACTAATCTCTCGATTCAAGCAAGTAATATGTGTCAAATATTAAAAACCTAATATTGAACTCATCTCTCGAATTATGAACAATATTGTCAAACATGTAAAAGCATTGATCAAGTGCTAAACATGAAATAAGAACAAAATATTTGAATAGAGTTCAAAAGAAAAACAATCAATTATAATAATTCATCAAAAATCCCAACATATTAATCTACTACCAAGTCCTAGAATCAAATAAACTAGTCACTCATGTTCGAATTCAAATACATAGACATATTAAAAATCGACATGATCAATAAAAGTTCAAAGGAAAGAAGAAATAAAAACAAGGAATCTCGTCGATCTTTCAATCTTCTTGATCCTTTCGTAGTTGGATCTTCTTTTGCTTCCCAATTGCTTCTCTTGTGTGTTCTAGGGCTCCTCTCTTGTGTATTCACGTTCCTCTTCTTAAAATAGGGTAAATATGCCTTTTATAATGTCCAAAACCCTTCACCTTTTCAAAATAGGTAAGATATAAAAAACAGCCTGCGCGCGCGACACGGCCATTCTGCCCGTGTCACCGTCTGTGTCGTTGCCCGTGTCAGGTCCTTGGGCTTCGAACTCTCTCTGTTGAGGTGACACGGCCTCTGACACGGGCATGTTGCCCGTGTCACTGCCCGTGTCACAAACCTGCTTGCTCATTTTTGTTCGTTTCACTCGTTTCTTCTATTTTTTTCATCCGTGCATCAATCTTTCATCATCCCGGGGATTTTAGGTACTCACCATGCGCCTCCAATAGCCAAAAGCTCAACAAATATGTGAAAATATCTACAAAACAAACACGTGTAATACCTTTCCACAAGATATAGAATTATAGCACAATAATGCAATTTATACACCAATAATGCAATGAATAAGCTCTAGATACTACATAAATATGGTGTAAAATCAGTCATGAACACACGACAAGGTAAAATTTCAAAACAAGTCTTAACAACTCGTTCTGAAATAGGGGGCTGGATGATGTAGCACCCAGAATAACTCGGCGGGCCGGCCGACCTAACTGGTTAGCTCGGGGTAGGCTGGCCAGACAAGCTTAAACTCACCAAGAATAAGCTAACCCACGCAAGGAGATCACAACATAGCTAAAGGTACTGGTCGATCACTAGAGGCTATGACCTCCAGGAGCTCGCGAACATAGCTCAAGGTACTTGTCGACTCTTAGAGGCTACGACCTCTATGAACTCGAGTTACAGAGAGTGACCTCAAGGTGTCTAGGTCGTGAGTCCAGAGATCGAGAGTCGCCCTTAGCCAGGTTACAATAAGAAGGTCAAAAGGGCGTGGTTATGACCAGAGGACCTAAGAGTTGTACAGTGAAGGGGGAAAGAATCCTAGTGAGAATGAAAATATAACTTACTAAGGAAACTTATTTGGATAAAGACGTGGTAAGTTAGGCAAGAAGATCTGGTTGGATATATTTTCTAACATGAAATCTTTTGTGCATCAAGACACTCACCCTATATAAGGATAACCGGGTTCCATGTTAATAGATCATCAATACCATCGTACTTTTACATATTGCGTATATACTTTCCAACTTGTTTCTCTTGAGAGAGTTTTGACTTAAGCGTCAGAGTGTCTACGTCGGGACTCCCTCTTGGTGCATTGCAGGTCACCAGAGCTCGAGGCTGGAGAAAGTTCGAAGATTGATTGGTTCAACCCGGGGTCCGTGACAAATTGACCCATCACAAAGGAAGCACTTCCGAAAAATTCATACCGGAGCAAAAAACACTATTTATGTGAACTATTCTTTCAAAATTATCAATAAAAATTGTGTTGAAGTCTCTATTTCTACAATTTTTATATTTTACACATTTTTTTATTATGTTGGCAACAGTCTAATATAAAATTTGGCAAATCAAGCACAAATTACTTGAAAAGTCAAATTTATTAACAAAGTTATTATTTTAAACGTTATTCACAAAGTTATTATTTTTTTTTTCTCCCAGTATTTATAACAGTCGCCTTTTTTAAGACGAATTTTCGTAGTTGGCAAAGAGATGTTGCCCACATGGGTTGTGATTTATTTTATTAATACAACAAAGAACACGCATAATGCCGTTATGAGACGTATAAACTATAAACCTGGGTTGAGATATTGGCGTGCACGATTCGCTTATAATAAGAAAAAACATAAAAATTATACGAGTTTAGCAGCGTCGTCATCTCCTCCAAATACTATCCGCTGTTTGGTAGTCCTATTTAGAATCAATCAACTAAAGAAAATATCAAATCCCCTGTCCCAGTTCATCCTGCATTTCGGACGACAAATATTCCTCCTTTCCCCATAAATTCAGCTCCTCACATTTTCTCTTCAAACCCATCAATCGAGCTTCCCTTTCGGCTGTATACATATATATGTATATATGTAAGTGTTCAGAATCATTCATCGTCGTTTTTGGCTGAGTTGATTGCAGAGTAGATTGTCGAGAAATAAAAAAAAAATGGGAATCTGCTTGAGCAATCAGAAGCACGCGAAATCAAACGCCGCCGGCAACGGAAATGGGGCGGCCCACCACCACCACCACCAAACCCCAATCCAGTACACAATGTCCCCCGGCTTCGCCGCCGGCCAATTGGCCCCTCCGGCCCGGGCGCCGGTCCACACGATCCTCGGAAAGCCGTACGAGGACGTCCGGGCGCACTACAATCTGGGCAAGGAGCTTGGCCGGGGGCAGTTCGGGGTGACGCACCTCTGCACTGAGATCGTGACCGGGCGGCAGTACGCCTGCAAATCCATCTCCAAGAGGAAGCTCGTGACCAAGGGCGACAAGGAGGACATGAGGAGGGAGATCCAGATCATGCAGCACCTGAGCGGACAGCCCAACATCGTGGAGTTCAAGGGCGCGTACGAGGACAGGCAATCGGTCCACCTCGTCATGGAGCTCTGTGCGGGAGGGGAGCTTTTTGATCGGATTATTGCCAAGGGGCATTACAGTGAGAAGGCGGCTGCCTCCATTTGTGGGTCTATTGTGAGCGTTATCCAGATTTGCCATTTTATGGGGGTTATGCACCGAGATCTCAAGCCTGAGAATTTCTTGCTGTCAGACAAGAGCGAGGGTGCGCTGCTCAAGGCCACGGATTTTGGGTTGTCGGTATTTATCGAGGAAGGTAAGTCCTTTCTTTCTCTCTTTCTTTTTTTTTTTCTTTTTTTGAAAGAAAGGTTTTAAACAATCTTCTGAAGTGGTTTCTTGATTAGCTTTTGTACTCATCTCTTCGCGTAATGCACCATATATGGTCCTCGTTCTTTCTAATAGCCATCGTAACAATTCGGCAAATCCTGTCACTTTTGGTAGATTACCTGATGATCAGTGGTGGTCTGTACTATCTGTCTATTTGTTTAAATGGGAAAATGTGCATTATTGACTCTTTCAACCTGCTGTTGAATTTCTCAGTGTGTGTGTGTGAGTTTCCATGTACTAGTAGTATCCAAAGCTTTAGTATACAAAATGTTGTATGTGAAGACCTTAGTTCTTGTATCCTTGATTCCTCCGCTAGCTTGAATATCTAAACTGAGTAGTTGGTTACCCACAAACATGATATTATCAACTTTCTCATTTGTATGCTCATAACTTTTCATCCTAGCACCATCACTCAGTGTTAATCTTCTTGACCTCCTGTAGTTTCGACTATTATGAATTAATTAACAAAGCCCAACCTCTGCAGGGAAGGTATACAAGGACTTAGTTGGCAGTGCATATTATGTTGCTCCCGAAGTTTTACAACGTGCATATGGGAAAGAAGCTGATGTTTGGAGTGCTGGAGTCATGCTATACATATTACTTAGTGGTGTACCTCCTTTTTGGGGGGGTAAGTAAAAATATCCTTATGTAAATATTGGTTTTCGCCTTGACGTTTCACATTTTAACTGCTCAAGATTATAACTGATATTGTAGAAACTGAGCGGGGAATATTTGACGCCATTCTAAAAGGAGATGTGGATTTTTCAAGTGAGCCTTGGCCATCAATATCACAGAGTGCCAAGGACCTTGTTGCTAAAATGCTTACTCAGGACCCAAAGAAACGAATTACAGCTGCAGCTGTTCTTGGTATGCAGTTTGTGGGAATTATCATCACATACAATAATTCATGCGTACTGTACCTTTGTTTTGAAAACTCATTCATTACTTAATTTCTGAAAAAAAAAATGGAGAGAAGGCTTTCAAAGTTTTAAACAACTTTTCAATGTGCTTGTAACTTTTTGTTCACAGAACTATGGAACCTTGTTATCTATTGTATCACACTTTTCTTCTTGTAAAGAGGACAATTTCTGCATAAGTGTTGTATGTGAGTAGATATTATTGCTGATGATCTTTTATGTTCTTTCGGTTGATATACTTATTTTCGTATTTGAACAAATGAACAACACAGATTCGCCTGAGTCAAAATACTCAAACTTTCTGATTTTTTGCTTCCACAGAGCATCCTTGGATTAAAGGTGAGGAAGCATCTGATAAGCCACTCGACGGTGCAGTTCTTTCTAGGATGAAGCAGTTCAGAGCTATGAACAAGCTCAAAAAACTTGCACTTAAGGTATCCCCCTAGATTTGTAGGTCTTCATGTATATATTCAGTTAATAGAATTTATGTGGTGAGTGCAACAATTATTTGTGCACATAGAGTAATTCTGATTTATTTTTCTAATTAATTCTGGCGTTATTATCTGTTGTGAGAAGTAAAAAAAAAAAAATTGCAACCTTCTACATTGGATGTTCATTGGAATCCCTTATCTTGACTGTAGTGGTTTTTCTGCTATCAAATCTAGGTAATTGCAGAAAATCTTTCTGCTGAAGAAATTCAAGGGCTAAAAGCAATGTTCACAAATATGGACACGGACAAAAATGGAACCATTACTTACGAAGAACTTAAAGCTGGTTTGGCTAATCTTGGATCGAAGCTTACTGAAGCTGAAGTTAGGCAGCTAATGGATGCTGTATGATATACTTCTGCTCAAAAACACTTTTATTCTCTTATAATTTTCTTATGCTTTCAAAAGGCTAAAGGTATAGTTGTAACTATAGCCATTATGTCGTTTACAGGCTGACGTTGACGGGAATGGGACAATAGATTACATTGAGTTCATCACGGCTACAATGCACAGACACAGATTAGAAAGGGAGGAAAACCTTTACAAAGCATTCCATTACTTTGATAAGGATAGCAGTGGGTAAGTACTGAACAAACCTTCAGAAATTCGAAGTGCCTCATTTAGATGACAATGAGTAGTACTGATAAAGTCAAAACTTGAGTCAAACCGTTAGCCAGAACTTGGTTTTGTACCTTTATAATTATTTTAGCCTTATTTCTAGTACATTTATTATTTTTTAAAATTATTTTTAATTTTAGAACTTGGTTTTGAACATGTCAGGAGTGTTTGTCATTGTTAAATTATAATTGATAATCACTTGTGCAGGTTCATAACAAGAGATGAGCTTGAGACGGCAATGCAAGAACACGGAATGGGTGACCCATCAACCATAAGAGAAATAATATCTGAAGTTGACACCGATCACGTGAGTCGGTTCGCCATAGATATATATATATATATATATCTTTACATTAGTTATTTTTTCTTCGTTAGTTTCTCTAAAGAATTTGTTGTTTTTTTCCAGGATGGAAGAATTAATTATGAAGAGTTCTGTACCATGATGAGAACTGGAACCCAACAGCAAGGAAAGCTTTTATAGGCCACGGACAACCTTTTCCTTTACATTTCTCACACAATAGCTGTGATTCATTTATTTTTACTTCTCTCACACAATATCTGTGNTCACATTATACGAACAAGGCTGCATTCTTTTTGCAATACTGGCTTTGTTAAAGAGCATCGACTTCATTTATTAGAGAGAGAGAGAGAGAGAACCTTACATTGAATTTTGAAGTTAATATCATTGGAGGAAATTGGCAATTATCCATGAAATAACAGAATAGGAACACAATGAAATGAATCACCAGTCAATGGTGGTCAAATTTGACCAATGTCATGCAGTTATTTACACAGATGTTACTTGTCTTAAGGCCATCAAAGCAGAAAGTGTCAAGTCATTGTGCAGATGGTTTATGTGGTAGAATGATCAGGCATCTTCTTGAGGTCCATTTCCACTTGGTGAATGGTCCACTGCATATTTTCCAATTTCTGCACCAAAAATCTGGGTTAAGAGCCAGGCCAAGCAAACAGTTTCTAATTAAAATTTATCAATCCCATGAGTTTTTTTACCTTAACTATCTCATGGTATTGCCTGGCAATGTTATCAAAGTGGGGATCAACACCTTGATACTCACGAAGTCGTGTAACCTGATCAATAAATAAACTCAACATTAGACTTGATTCTAGATAATTACACAGTCCCACAGTATAATGAGACTTTGGATTGTTTGAAGTACAATTTTCCTCTCTCAACAAAAACGAAAGGTGAGTATCATGATAAATAAACGCACAAGATCCTTGCCCACATGGTGACAGCTTGAAATTGTCAATTAAGATGAAATTAACACTACAAGCAATTAATGTAAGAGCATAAGATGTGAGGAAACAGACAAAACAAGAGCAAAAAAGTTTTACCGCTTTATTATATGCAAGAGAAGCTTCTTCTGTTGACTCAACCAGATATTTCCTATGGAAAAAAAAGTCAGGCAGTATTATATCTTGGAAAGTAAACTGAATATCAGAAGGTACTGTATGCTTATTTACCTAATTCTGTGGAGTGCTGGAATAGTTTCCCTGGTGTAGGTTTCAAGGAGTAGAATATGTTCTAGAACTCTTCAAAACCAATGTAAATCAATTAATATTGTTAGCCACGTCATATTCAGAAAACGGCTTCCCAATTCATGTTCAACACAATGAACAAGGTCAGCAGCAGGAAAATACAAACCTTAATTTGGCACTCATGGTCTCACATCTTTTGCATAGCCAAGTCTTCTGTAGTTCATCCTATAAAAAGCATGGTCTTTGTTAGGAACTAACTATTAATACCAATTATGATGAGTCAAGCCCAGTTTATTTCGACTGACATTAAAAGGCTTACATATTTATGTTGATGACGGAGTTTAACATCTTTGACAAGCTTTATGAGCACCGCAAGAATCTGCTCCAAAACCTTGGATGGACAAAAGGAATTTTAATCATAAAAATCCAAACATAAACATCACAACCCAACAAGTCAACTGAATACTTGACCAGATAAAAAGTCACTTATTAATAAGACATCATCAGAAGAGCACACAGAATCTTACTTACATTATAGTACTCAGCAAATTTTCTATCAGAAGAATACAGATCCTCCCTCCATGCCAATTCTTCTCTTTCAATCTCCTCAATTATCAATTTCACCCTGTTGTATATGAACACAAAACTGTAAGAACAGTTAACCATTAAAATGAATTGCCATATACTAACATCACATTTAAGAAGTAAACACTCATTCCTGTGAATTCAGATGTTGGAACCATCCAACTATCGGAACCCTCTGCTAGATCCAGAAATATATCTTTGGTTGCAAATGTTTTCTCTTTAGTATTTTTTCTCTTTCTTTTTTAGAAGAAATATTATAACATATCACTCATGTAGGTGATCCATTTCCTCAAATCTTTACGCATCTCAGTGAAGTTTCAGTTGGACCCAACAATCTCCAGCCAGATTACAATTTCCCAAGTAGAAATAGGTCCCAGTGTACCAAAATCTTACAAAGTTGTTGAACTGAGACAAACTGTTAGAACTATGGTAACCGAATTCTACTGGGAAAGTTTGAAATATTTCCATAACCACCATATACATGTTTAAACTTCAATGTCAATAGAATGACAAGAACAGTTTTTATAACCTATTAGCTACAAGCAGCTCCCTGTCGAAAGAAAATTTAAAGTAATTCAAATATTTAAAAAAGAAAAAATAAAGAAAACATTCTCTATGTTCAAGTCATAAATCCTCACAATTGACAACAAAAAGCATAAGAGAGAAATAATGGAAAGTATAGAATCAGCATTTACAAAAATAAACGACAACATTGGCATAGCATCACTCCAGAGAGTTCAAAGTTAAAACTTAAACCAAATTTAGAAGAGTAAGTTCAAATCCTTGGTCATCCAAATCCTAAAATACATAATAGTGTAGAGTTTCAAGGGTGGGTAAGAGATACCTCTCTGGAAGTCGGGAAGTCAGAGTCTGGTGACCAGTTGATGATTCTGAAAAGGAAAAAAAAAAGGCAGAAAATCAACTAATTACATCAATCAATAATGTAAAATTGAATCTGCTTGTAAAAAATCAACATCTAAGGAGCTAGTGTAAATGCTCCTAGAGTTCAAGGGTTACAGACTACAAAATGATGGTGTGTAACTGAAAGCACCAAAAATCAGTTTGAATATGCATAACTATGCACGTATGAAGCAGGCGAAAGCAAGCAACACCATTTTAATATGGCAAGATAATGAATAGGGTTGAAAAATGAAAAATTAGAACTGACCATAGTCATCTATGATAACCGCATCTCCTAACTTTTCACATTTAGCGTCCAACCGACCTGCAATCTCACGGGCAAGAGCCACCTGATATTCAGTCATGTCCTACATTGTCAGAAAGTTTAATATTAGGTTCTGTCCAGCAAAAATGATAAAATTTCAGAACTTGTATACTTGCCAACTTCTTAATTTTCATATGAAACTGCATGCACACATTTGATCGCAAACATGAATCGTTCTATACCATGGATAGAGGTGTTCGCTGAAGCTGTGTTTGCCATAAATAGGTTGGTGTTATCCCAAGAAACCTATTTGGGACACCACCAACTTCAGGTTCAGATGCATCCATTCCCCCAGAAGAGAATCCAGCTCCCGGCCCAGATAAATTTGTATAATTAGTAGAATATGTGCTCGAGCTCATTGTGACACTACTTGTGCTATCAAGTGAGCTCCTTGACACAATACTCAATTTTTCAATTTCTTCCTCATGAATCTCACCGTCTTTGGAAATCATTGGAAGCCTCAATCTTTGAGCAGCTTCTGCTACCATCATTCTATGCTCAAGAGCCTCATAAACCTGAAAAAGGAAACCCATTTTCTTTTCAATCGTTTTATTTTCAACTACAAAACCAACAGTGATATCCAAAGTTGTTCATTTCCTGATAAAGCATCCAATTTTCATTCTATGGGACTCAAATGACAACCAAATAGATATAAGCAGAGGGTATACAAGTACAACAACTTTGTAACATCATCTGAACTTTTCAAGGAAAAAAAAAAAACCTAAGTCATGAATTAGAGGGAAATTTAACATAAATTCAGGACCTGTGGTGGGTTTTTCAAGCCGAGCTTCGGATAAAGACCCTGAACATCAGGGATGCCGCCCATATTAGCCATGGAAATGGCCTGTTGATACTCCTCCACCATCGCCACCATCTCAATGTACACTGCCTATAAATGTATTCCGACATTAATCTCAACCTACCCAAATTAAACCAACACATTACACATTGGTACCCAGAAGCGAATCAAGTCAGTAAACGTACCAGGGTTTCCAGGTAACGCTGCCTCTCTTTGCACATTTCTTCTCTGGCCTGCATAGTAAGTCAATCAAGAAAAAATCTACAGTAATTACGCCATTGTAGACTAGAAAGAACATAAATTGGATGGGTTGGATGAATGGATAGTACGAGTTGAAGATCGTAGTAGGTGGATTTGGAAATGAGAGATCCATCGGGGGCCAAACAGTGGCGCTCCAGCTGATCCACCACTTGATTGACGTCGGCCGGAAGATTTTGCGCGGCGAACATTTTCGCCATTTGATTCTGTTTCTTTTTTTCTTCCAGTAAGTTCAAAATTCTTGCCCAATAGCCACCATTTTATCCCTTTCAATTTGAAATTCAAGATTTTAGGAGTAAAACGCAACGAAACGACAGCGTCCTGTATATAAGATAGTTTTTTTTTAAGTTTGTCCCTGAGATAAAAAATTGAAAAAAATATTTTAGAAAAAAATAGATAAATTTAAAAGTATAAATGGATATGTATATATATATATATAATCGCTAGCAACAAATTTAATAAACTCTCTATGTTTTCCCTTCATTTTTCGTTACTTTTACATTAATTAAGTATTTATATTTTTGAGTTATTTTATTATATAATATTTACTACTAACAAATCATTAAATCACATTAAATGAAATTCTAATCTAAAACTTATTTTTCAAACTATTTATTTAAAATTTTTATTTTTTAACTCATCAAGCAAATTTTTATTATTAAAACTATTTAATTTTTTTTTGTGATACAACAAAACTTTTTAAAATTTCATACATAATTGCTATAATAATAATTTTAATATTGTTTTATCTAATCAATTAGTTTTAATCAAGCAAGATTGCAAAATTTATATTATTGCAATCGATATAATGATTAATATGTAAGTTAATAGTTTAGATTTATATCATGCATTTTTACTAATGATTAAAGTTATAAAATGTGATATGTTCATTATCTAACTTATGATTATAAATCTGACATACACACACATATACCATATAAAACTTTATTTATATATCTGCATGTGCACAATATTGAATACTAGTGTATATATATATATATATATATAATTATTAGTAAAACATTAAATTTTACCTACGTGTCAACTTTCCTAACACAAAAACCGTTACAATTCTTTATTATTATTATTATTATAGATATATATATATATATATATATAATTATTAGTAAAACATTAAATTTTACCTACGTGTCAACTTTTCTAACACAAAAAACGTTACAATTCTTTATTATTATTATTATTATTATTATTATTATTATTATTATTATTATTATTATTAATATTATTATTATTACTCTAATCCACTCTACCCCATTAATGATAAAATATTTCCTTGCAGTTTTTTTTAGGTTAATTAAGACAAAAGCTGTTATATTTTATATTAATTGAGTAATAATTATATTTTTTGTTGTATCATATAATAGTCAGGGGCGGATCCACGGGGACTAAATAATTTTCAATAATGACATACTTCATTAAAAAGACAAAGTTGCATTTTTAGAATAGAAAAAAAAAAGTAGTTTAATGAAATACATACCTTTCAAACTTTGTGACTATTGGATTTGTGCTCGACGTTCTCTCAAGTCACGAAACTCATCGATGATTGACTCCGTAGTAACATATCTTGCAATTTTCCTTTCAACGAAGATAGTCAAAGAATTTACAAGAAAGTCATCTTCCATTTTACTTCGAAGTTTAGATTTCACGATAGTCATAGCCGAAAATACAAGCTCTGCGGTCGCAGTAGACTCAGGAAGAGTAAGAATCAACATTATTAACCTATCAATCAACAGATAAACAAGGACTTTATACTTCTGCCATCCATTAGCACAAATCAGAGATAGTACACAAATTTTGAAATTCTGAATGCTTGAGAACATCAATCTCATAATGTCACAATTGAACATGCAGTAAGTCTTTTTCATAATCCGTGAAGTCTCTAGGATAAAAACCATTGACAAGAAAACAAGCGTCATCTATATTAAAAGACAATGAAGAATTGCGAGGATCAAACATAGAGCTAAAAACAAGTAGCTTCACGACATGCTCACTAAATATGTTGCTTAGCTCTTACAGTTGACAACTTATCGTAACCGTAAATATATTAATATGGTAATGATCACCGACTGTAAATAGATTTTGCTTGTTCCGAGATCGTCCTCCTTTTTCAATATTTAAATCATTAGCATCATGAATATCTATCGCACGACTTTCACAAAAAGACTTTACCTTTGTCAAAGAGACTGGTGTATCCATCATCTTTCAATTTTTGGGATTAGACTCTTTGTAGTTCCAACAAGATGCATAACATTCAGAATGTCTTGAGATTTTTGTTGGAGAGCTTGACAAAGTGTATCAGTTATTTTCATTATTTCTTTCATAAAATGCAAGATGAAAATGAACTCGAAAGAGGTCAAAGAAATGTAAGTCGAATCTGCATCGGCTAGTTGATCACAATTTCCCTCATCAATTATGCTTAACAAAAGTGAGCAAGCTGTACTAAACATCTTCAACAAGCTAGAAATCAACCTGAAGTACGAACCCCACCACGTATCACCTGCGCATTGTAAACTGCCAATTTGATATTGTCCAGACCTTTTTTCAAGCTCATTAACAGAAATCAAGTAAGCAATATCAGAAGCTTCGGCCACTTTTAATTCATCGACACATTAACAAGAAGAACCCACCACATTTTTTTGAAATTTAACTTTGTAAAAAATGGTGGACGGGGTAACTTCTATGGATATTCCAACCAAAGCCAATTGCAACCGATGAACTAAACAATGTACATAATATGCATACGGGCATTCTTTAGCAATTGAGCTTGTAACCCGTTAAATTCACCACGCATATTGCTCACCCCCATCATATTTAGACCCTGACTCCAGATATTTTGCATGTCAAGATTGTGACGAGAAAGGGTAGAAATATTGCATCTTTAAGAGTTATCGCCTTCGTATCAGACGCATGTACAAGATCAAAGAAGCTGTCCCTAACAAAACCACAAATATCAACAAACCTCAAGACGATACCCATTCGCTCCTTTTTAGATTGATTTCTTGCCTCATCAACAATAATGCAAAACTTTGCGTCCCCAATGTCTTCACGAATCACTTTCTTGATCCTCATCGAGATAACAAGTAAAATATCCTTCTGGACATACGGGGATGTATAAGAGGCATTTTAAGGTGCTTTGTGTAAAACTTTGCAATATTTTCATTAATCTTAGACTTTGCACTCAAATATTGAAGAAAATTTTCACGGTTAAGAAACTATTTACTTTCATCTTGACCTATAAAAGCCAAATCCTGACTTGCAAGATATCGAACATAAACAATTGAAGCTTCAAACCGTAATCTATTTTTTGCAACTTGTTTTTCAGTAAGTGGCCGAACATTGTTTTTTTTTTTAAAAAATAAAATAAAATAAAATAAAACCTCATTATTTCGTCTTTACTAGTAAAATTCAAGAATTATATGGGCCTTCCTAATTAATGATCTAATTCATAACCCAACAACAAATCTTGTATGGGCCTTCCTAATTATGGTATAATACATAACCCAACAACAAATCTTGTGGGCGCCGGTCTCCACACTCCCCGACACCTGAAGCACCCATCCTCCAATGGCCGCCGCCGTATGCTGTTCTCAGCTGAAGCTCAACTCGATCTCCTTCGCCGCATCACCGTCGAAACCCCAACAAACCCGGCTGAGATTCAACCCGTCCACCCTTGCCCTACCATCGTCCTCCATTAAATCCTCCGCTGAGCTCCAACCCCTCTTCTCCTCCGTCCGATCCTTCGCTCCCGCCACCGTTGCCAACCTGGGTCCGGGATTCGACTTCCTCGGCTGCGCCGTCGACGGAATCGGCGATCACGTCAGCGTTCGTGTCGACCCCGATGTCCGCCCCGGCGAGATCTCCATCTCCCACATATCCGGCGCCGGTTCGAGGCTCAGCAATAACCCCCTTTGGAACTGCGCCGGCATCGCCGCCATCGCGGTCATGAAGATGCTCGGCGTCAGATCCGTGGGCCTCTCGCTCTCGCTCGAGAAGGGCCTCCCGCTCGGCAGCGGCCTCGGCTCCAGCGCCGCCAGCGCCGCAGCGGCCGCCGTCGCCGTCAACGAGCTGTTTGGGGGCCGCCTGTCTCCGTCGGAGCTCGTGCTGGCCGGTCTGGAGTCGGAGTCCAAGGTCTCCGGCTACCACGCGGACAACGTGGCCCCTTCCCTTCTCGGAGGCTTCGTCCTGATCCGGAGCTACGATCCCCTGGAATTGGTCCAGCTCAGGTTCCCTGATGACAGGCCCCTCCATTTTGTGCTGGTTAATCCAGAATTCGAGGCTCCCACCAAGAAAATGAGGGCTGCACTGCCGCAGGAGATCACCATGTCCGACCACATATGGAACTGCAGCCAGGCAGGGGCTTTGGTTGCCTCTGTTTTGCAGGGAGACCTCTGCAGCTTGGGGAAAGCCCTTTCGTCTGACAAGATAGTCGAGCCTAGTCGAGCTCCACTGATTCCGGGCATGGAGGCAGTGAAAAGAGCGGCCATTGAGGCTGGGGCTTTTGGATGCACGATAAGTGGGGCTGGCCCCACTGCAGTGGCAGTGATAGACGATGAGGAGAGAGGCTTGGAGATTGGGGAGAGAATGGTGGAGGCCTTTTTTAAGGAAGGGAACTTGAAGGCCATGGCCATGATCAAACAACTTGATAGAGTTGGAGCTAGGCTAGTCAGCAGTGTTCCCATATGATGATGATGATGATGATGATAATGTAATCTCTCATTCTCTCTGACTCTTTAGTTTTTAGTTTGTAATTTGTTTGGAGAGTTAGTGCCAAGCTGTGTTTTGTTGTAGTTTGTTAATGTGCAATGATTTCTTTTGGCCTTTTTGAGGAATCCCTACCTGTTTGTGCTTGTTGGCATGATAATATAGCGGCTAATAGTCGTTTGCAATATTCTTAGCGGTTGCTAAAGATAATAGTTTTTTTTTCCTGTTTTGTTAAAGGATAAATAGGTTTCTCGATACAGTTGTGGCCCTTATGCAGTTTGTTTACATATTGCTTGTCATTTGTCAATCTTGGTGGAGGCCCTTAAAGTGGTAGAAACCTAATATGTCTTGATGGTTTATGATTCTCAACTGTCATTGGCAACTTAATTGACCTTGTGTTTGATGGTAACGACTCTGATTGCAAGTTGCCTGTGACTCTGTGTATTGACTTGAGCAAGGAAAGATATCTTATCCAAAGGGATCATCAGCAAATCCCGAATTCAGGGTAAGGGATTCACTGTTTGGTCGTAAATGATAATAACTTCTCATTGCAAATATCTTTATCATGCCCAAGTGATGAGGAATTTTTTATAAGAGTACCTTGGTATGCATTGTTTACTGATGTTTGCAGGAATGACCCCATAGTTAGCAACAAGTCAACAACTCATTATCAATTCACGTTCTCTGCTTCAGCTCAAGTGGTTTATGCTATAAGTTCTACAGTAACAGATAGACTCTTCATAGAATCAACTGAAAGATGCTTAAGAACTGAATTTCGTGTGATGCCTGTCAGGTCCAATTAGAACATTCACCGGCATAAACATTTCACAATTTAATGGAACAATTTGAGTTGAGTGCTCTTGCTAATGCACTAGAAAGGAATGTCCTATGATGTGCTGATATGGGGCTGAAGTTGGAAGCATGGTATTTGAAAGGTGATATCTGCTTTAGTTTATGATATGTACTGTACCTAAAGTTCCCCAGGTCGTGCTTCCTTAATATACTCTATATAGTCAATATTACGCTAATTTTTCATTGTGTTTATTGATTCCTTTATAGCTAAAATATAATCCCATACTGGGAATATAGTGACTTTGTCTTCATGACCCCCATAACGAGAGAAGATTAGATGAGCTGATTGCACATGGATCTACATTTTGCTCTTTCAAAATAGATTTCAGGGATTTTGTCTCTCTTATAGTGTGATAATTTGATGACAAAGTGATTTGTTTTTATGCGTCACTTTGATGACAAAGTTGATTCAGATATTTGTGCTGTCAACTTTTCTTATCATGTAATAGCCGAAGATATCTATATGTTGTGTAATCTTTTTGATGTTTGTTATTTTGTGGGCAAGTCTAGTGTTAGTGTAGATAGCAATTCTAGGTTAGCTTTTTTTTGCTTTGCAAGGAAAAGCTTCCATGTTTTGGCTTGCTTTGGTTCCTACTTGGATCGAGTGTTGATCCTAGTAGCTTTGTGGCATCCGTGATGTCTCGTGTACTCATTGCCTTTGAGTTTGTTTAATCTGCTGCTGTTTGTTTTTTTTAAAAAAAAAGGTCATTATTTCCAACAAAATTCAATGGCAACTCCTCTGAGAATTATT